TGGCTGCATGCAGGAAATGCTTACCATGTTGACTCACCCACTCTCACTCCTTTTGGAGTTCATGGGAGTCCCTTAGTTTTTATTTGTTGCCTTGATTTGCCTCTTTGAACATTGGTAAACTACTGTCGCCTTTATTTACATTGTCTTGTTGAATCTGTCACGTTCTTACAAATAATTTTTTACATGAGTTGTTTAAGAGACTGACTTTTTACCACTGTGGTTCTTTGAAAATGTCTTTTAAACTGGCCTGAGTTGGCTTTGATCCGACTTGTCCTAGTTCCAGGGAAACAACCCCTCCAAAATAATTATAGTCGAGAATTTTTTCAGTTCTGGACAAAATCAAAAGAAAAGAGGTAAATGAAAGGCTGAAGATTCAATACATTCAAACAGTCAAGCGAAATAGAACTATGAATTTGAAGCCGGTTAAAGCAGCTTTCAAACAAGTAGGACTGATTGAGTTTTTCCTGGCATAAGGCACTGACCATTGATTTTTTGTTTAAAACAAACCACCCTTCTGAAACAAATGAATGTTTAAAGAAATTTATAATCAAACCAACTATTGAAAAAAATTGTCCCCCCCCCCCCTCCTAATTGCCAGAGGGTGTATTGACTGTGCCGCAAGTGATAATCATACATTTTGAATCTACCAGCTTAACAGACAGAAACAAAACTTTGACGAGGAGAAGAACAAATAAATTTTAAAACAGCATGACAATGCCACAACTGACTTCATCTGTACAAACCAGTTCTGGCGAAAAGAATTGAGGCTTCTCCCAATTACAGTTCCTCAAAATATATCATAACATGATGCAATGCGTCCTGAGCAAAAGAAAAATTAAAATTTTAAATCACTCTTTTTTTATCCAGGCTCTGCTTAATCATTTGGTGCAAGTCCTGGGCTTATACTGGCATGAAAATTTTCAACCAGTGGTTCACTATAAAATTCATTTTTTGTTGTAATCAATTTTTTATTATGTCGCCTGTTTAAGAGGCCTTCCCATTGTGTATGAAAAATGATAAAAATCAAGTAACTGTCAAAGAAATTGAATTGAATGTTAACCAGCAGAAATCTTTTGATTCACTATATTATATATTTTTTGAATTGTGACAGCTGTTGATTAAATTTACTTGAAAAAATACAATTATGGATGTATAGATTTATGTATGAATCAGTAAAACTTGACAAAGATTTTGTTCGTTTTGCAATCTGGGGAGTATAGGCAGTCACACTTCGTTTATCCTAATGGTTCCATTCAAACTTAATAGAGGTTTTGTTAGGTTACTTATAAGTTTTATATAAATTTCTCTATTTTTTACCAAAAAAATGTTCAATGAATTATGAAAATACATGGCAGTATGTGACAAATTAATCTTAGCTTGTCACTTTTTGGTTTGGATGTAGGCATCCTTGAATCTTTTTCTACATGCTTTTGTTTTGGATATTTTGTTGTTAAAACCAACAATGGATTAAACTGTGACAATATTTGTGTTTATTTTGATGTAAATTACCCCAGGTAAAGGACCTAAAATTTTAGTTTATGCAGGAAGATTTTGAATTTGAAATGTTTATTCAAGATCCAGATATTGATTAATTCTGATGCACTTGTACTGAGTTAACCCAGGGTATTTAATTCTTACCTGGGCATAGAAGTAGAATAAGGCTAAATAGTCAGTGTTTAATTGACATTCTATATAAGATCAAAACTAAATATTATGAAAAAGATTGCCTATACTGTTGACATCAAAGTAAATATCTGCACCATATGTAGAATGTAGAGTTGGATAAATTATTATGAAAGCCATAAAGTTGTTTGTTCTTTTCAGACATAAAAATAATATTGTCATATATGTGCCAAAAAATGTTTTAGAATTTGTCAAAATTTGTGTTTTGCACATCAGTGTTTCTTTTTTTTTCATTTTTTGCGGTTCATCTGCTAAGTTACTTTTAAAAAATAATCGCATGGATTAACTTATAATACTGTCTTTTGAACTTAAAATCCAAGAGCAATTAATGTATGCTCTTGTGTATTTTGGTTTAAAGTAAACTACTGAATTTTGGAAAGAGATTTGCATGATTTACACATGCATGCTGGCACTCATACCACATCTTCTTATATCTATTGAGACTATAAAAGTTTATCTTATTTAGATGTCTTGTTTATATAATCTGTTGTCATCAGAAAGAGCATATCTATCAGTTTGAGATATGAAATTGTTTTACCTTATAGGTGACATAGATAGCATTAGATTACTTTATCTTTTAACTTTCTCACCTTTGTAGCACACTGAGATTCTTTAGGAATATTCATCTTTAAAGGGTTTTTGATCGTCAGTGTTAGCTATGCAAAAGACTTTCAAGGTTGGTAATGTTTCAAGTGTGTTATTATTTGTGAATGTCTTGATTCTAAAAATATAAATCCTTTACTTAAAGAAGCATTCATGTTGTCAAAACTGCTGGACTCCTATGGTACTTATTCTTGGCATACATATGCCAATAATATTTCACCCAACCTAAACCTCATTTTCTTCGATCAAATATCAAGGTTGTGTTCGTGGTCAAGTCCATATCTCAGATACTTTAAAGTAATAGGTCAACTATAATAGGGGTATGGAATGATTGTAAGGTGTACATTTCCGAATGGTAGGTTTCATCTGACATTGACCTCATTTTCTTGGTTCATTGGTCAAGATTAAGCTTTGGTGGTTTGGTCTGTTTGTCAGATATTATAATCAATAGATAAGCTGTATATAGTGTATGGCATGATTATAAAGTGTACATGTCTGTCTGGCATCTTTCATCTGACCTTTTCATGGTTTATTGGACAATATTAAGTTTTTTGGTTTGTTTTATTTCTGAGATACTTTAAGCAATAGGGATACATTTTTTTGTACTATATTTGGTGTATGGAATGATTGTAAGGTGTACATGTCAGTCTGGCAGGTTTCGTTTGACCTTGATCTCATTATCATGGTTCATTGGTCAATGTTTAGTTTTTAGTCGAGCCTGCAACCTCTGTCACAGAAAACAAGACATAGGGATAGTGATCTGGCTGCAGCAGCGGCGGCATGAACTAACTTCTTCAAAGCTTAATATTTCAGAAGGTAGAAGACCTGGATGCTTAATTCTTTGTATATAGATGCCTCTTGATATGAAGTTTCCGTCTGTCATATGTCCATTGTCCTTGACCTGGTTTTCATGGTTCAGTGACTACTTGAAATGAAATTTAAGATTTTTTGTAATGTTATTTTCTCTCTTATTATGAGTAATAGGAAAACTATATTTGATATGTGCTTACCTAGCAATGTCCTCATACTTGTCAGACAATTTTCACTTGACCTCAGCCTTATTTCATGGATCAGTGAAAAGGTTCAGCTTTCGTGGTCAGGTCCATATCTCAGATACTATAATCAATAAGTCTACTATATATAGGTGTATGGAAAGATTGTAAGGTGTGCATGTCCAACTGGCAGGTGTCATCTGACCTTGACCTCATTTTCATGGTTCAGTGGTCAAAGTTAAGTTTTTGTGTTTTGGTCTGTTTTTTCGAATACTGTATGCAGTAGGTCAACTTTATTTCGTGTATGGAAATATTTAAGATGTACATGTCAGTCTGATAGGTTTTATTTGATCTTGACCTCATTTTCATGGTTCTTTGCTCAATGTTAAGTTTTTGTGTTTTGGTCAGTTTTTCTCAAACTATAAGCAATAGGTCAGCTATATTTGGTGTATGGAATGATTGTAAGTGTATATGTCTGTCTGGTAGGGTTCATTTGACCTTGACCTCATTTTCATGGTTCATTGGTCAATATAAAGTTTTAATGGTCAGGTCTGTTTCTTGTATACTATAAGCAATGGGTCAACTAAATTCCGTGTATGGAATGATTGTAAGGTGTAGATGTATTTTTGGCTTGGTTTATCTGACCTTGACCTCATTTTCTAGGATCATGTTTATGTTAATGTGATACTTGTAGTAAAACTATGAACTTAAAATCAATGGTTAGTAAAGCGGGCAAGACATTTCAGCATGTGCATTCTTGTTGTATTTTACTTTGTTTTTCAATATTATAATCAATAGGCCAACTATATTTAATGTATGGAATAATTGTAAGGGGTATATGTCTGTCTGGTAGGTATCATCTGACCTTGACCTCATTTTCATGGTTCATTGGTCAATGTTTAGTTTAGTTCCTGATTAAATCTGTTTCTAATACTATGAGGAATAGGTCATACATATCTGGTACATGGAATGGTTATAAGGTGTACATATCATAATCTGTCTGGCAGGTATCATCTGACCTTGACCTCAATTCAATGGTTCATTGGTCAGTGTTTAGTTTCATTGTTTGGTGTGTTTCTTGGATATTATAGTCAATAGGTCAACTTGGAAAATTTTTCAAAACATTTGATTATTATTTTGTTTGTTTATTACTGTTGTGATCTTAGTACTGAAAGAAAATTTGTTGATTCCCCTTGATACAACTTGAATGCCCTAAAAAAAGCTGTATATTTGAAAATATAAATTTTGGTTTTTTTGTGTGAAAAAGGTTAAAGATAAATATGAAATGCCCCATGTTTGCCTGGTGAGCTAGTTCAGGCTCTTAGGAGCATTTTTATATAGTTTCATTGTGTAGCCAGTCATTTTTCAAGATCACATTATTATTTGTAAAGAAGATGGTTTGCTTTTAGTGTTAATTTATTCTGTAATTAAAAGTTTTATATATTGGTATAAATTACAGAGAAATTGAATTTTATATTTAAATTATTTACTTTTGTAGGTATTCCAATATTATATACTTATTGAATTTGTTTGATTTGAAATTTACTGATCAATTAATTGTTTAGTAATTAGCTATATAGGGAGAAATTATTTAACTTTTTTTGAAAAATAAATTAACTATTTGTGTAATGTATTGTTAGGTGAATTTTAAGATGGATTACAAGTAACATATTGATCGCCTATCCATTAAATACCTTGATCACATGACTTAGCACAGGTAAACATTAGGAGAATGGACCATAAGTCTCATTGTGCTGTATAAACATCTGAAAACCAAAGTGTCAGTTATGGTTTTGGCGTGGTCTCATTTTTTGAAAATGGTGGAGAGGCTTGGTCATCCCATGTAATGTTCAACGAGATTGAATTTAAATTGATCTATCCATGGTCTTGTAACATGAATATCTTCCTTCAAGGTGTTTGAAAGGTAGGTTTTTAAACTGGATGTTTAGGGGGAAACTGGAAACTGCATTTGCAATCAGCTGTTGAGGATTTTTATCTTAATATGTAGAGTCATGATACCATTGCATGATTGAATTCATGTTTAGTTGTATAGTGATTGATTATGTGTTGATAAAAGGAAAAAGCACAGTGCAGAGGATCAATACCTAAGTTTTATAATATCTAAAGTGATTAAAATTCTTTAAATATGATTACACGGAAATGGATTTAAATCATTAAGAAAGCTAACATCTAAAAGTGGAATAAAGTCAAAAAGGAATGTATGTTTTTGTGTATTTTCAAGTTTTAAAAGGTAAAAATTTGAATAATTGTTGATGTGTTGTACATGTAGGTTGTGAATTATGTAACATGCCTTAAAGGTGTTGTTTGATTTAAATGTAGAAGCATGCAAGATGTGTAATAATGTGTAATAAAGTATAAATAGGAAAGAACAAAAAGTTATATTTTGAGATTCTGTGTAAACATCATTATCATAATATGAAACTTAGTTTGGAGAATCTTCATTCTCCATTACAATTACATGTATATCAAAATAATAAAAAAACATGCTACATTTTTGCATTAAATTAATCCATGGGAAAAGGAGCTCTAGGGGGCTTGGCAAGCCAATGTTTGGAGTGATACTTGTAAAAGTCTATGCATTTATAATATATGAAGCTCTGTAAACTCTTAGTCTGTATTTTAAGGGGGATTAATTGATTACTAGTATATAAATACTCAAAGGCATTACACTTTTGTAAACAGAAAAAGGGATATTTCATTGTTATGTTTTTCTCCAAACATTAAACTTGAAGTATACCAATCTCTGTGTATTGCATATTTATAATTGAAAATGAGAGAAAACACACAAAAAAGTGATTTGATTTTAACCTGAATTTTTAACAGTCTGCTTTTGTTGTCTCTATTCATGTTGCATAACTGGAGACAATCATTTTCTTGTTTCTTAACTGATAACACAATCTCAAGACATTAATTTCATCAGTAGCAACAAATGGGGTGGGGGAACCAATGCAACAAAAAGTCTATGCATTTATGCTGGCACCACTTCACCTTGGTTGACAATGTTTTCTGGCTGTAACAATCTGCTCTATCACCCTCTCAGGTATGTGTTACATATATTTAATGTTCTTTCTGACTTGGCCTGAAAGAAGTGTTGCTATACGATAAGGGGTCATGTTTTGGTGATCTTTTAAAGCAAATTTTTATCAACCAACATTCGTAGTGAAACAATGGTGTTTGATTACAAATTTTTTTCCTACAAAAATAGATTGACAGAATTGAACAAATACTTCAATGCTCTAATAGATTAATATTTTATCAACTTATGGTATATATTATAAAAATGAAAAAAAAAAAATCCTCAGGGTTCAAGTATATATATATATAGGTGGCTTTTGTAGTCAACAGGGACATTCAGAATATAACTATATCGGAGTTCATCTGCACTGTATTAAGTTGATCAGATAAAAATGCAATCAGCATTCTTAAAATAGCTATAAAGATAAGACAATGATTACCTTCAAAGGATATTCAAACTCATAAGTCGAAAATCAAACTGACAATACCATGGCAAAAAGCAAAAAACGATAAAAAAAACAAACAACAGTATACAAAACACAACAACTAAATACTGAGCAACAGGAACCCCCCCCCAACCACCAAAAAAAAAGGGAGGTAATCTCAGGTGCTTTGGAAGAGTAAGCAGATTCTGCTCTACATGTGGCATTTGTCGAGCTGCTCATATTAGTACAAAACTGGTGATGAGTCTAATTTGCTAGGTCACATTCGAGGAAAAGAGGACAGGATTGTAGCTAACTAATTAATATCCCTTTTCATTACTCATTAAATTAGAGACGCATATGTTAAGTTTTCAAAAGGAAAATGTGTGTTCTTAAACAAGGTAATAAGAAATTAGAATACCATAGAGGATATTTAAATCGAAAATAATAGGAAAATATCTTTGATTATTATTAATGTAAAAATAAATAATAAGAAGATGTTGCCAATGAGACAATCTTTCCACCAGAGAACAAATGGCATACAAGTTAGCAACAATAAGTCACTGTACCAACTTCAACAATGAGCAAAACTTGTACTGCCTACCAAACTATAAATGGACCTGAAATGAAAATTGTTAAAAAATTCAAACGAGAAAACTAACAGCCTGATTTATGTACAACACATTATGTACAAATATGATATACAGCAACAAACGGCAACCATAGAATTATTTGCTCCTGACTTGAGACAGGTCAATACAGAATGCAGCAGAGTTAAATATATTTGCTGTAACCTTTTAGTAATGCAATATGCAGAATTCAGATGTCATATCGAAACAGTTGATTAATGAATATACTGTAGAAACATTTATTTTCGTGGGGTTAAAATTTCGTGGTTTTGTCTCTATATAAAATTTCATGGGGATTTAATTTCGTGGTTTCCATTAAATGGAAGTGATATTATATGTAGGTTAAATTTTCGTGGGGGTTTTAATTTCGTGGATATATTCTTTCCACGAAATAAACGAAATTAAATCCTCCACTAAAATTTCTGCTTTTACAGTATGCATTTGAGTCCTTAATTAAAAATGTATTTCTAGAGATGTGAAAAAGATTCCCAGAGGCTGACTAATATTCTTTGACGTTGAGTTGATGACTTTCCTTATGATCATTGGAAAAATTGTTGCAGGTTTAATATACATGTTCATACCATGATAAGCCTCGATGTTTTTCCAAGGAAGATGTGTTGACTGTTTCAGAAAAATATAATTACAAATGCCCAAAGTCCATTCTTTCATTTTTGGTATGAAACTTATACACAATGCTTATTACCACCAAATACAGATCAAGATTGAATTTTGGTAGCATCACTTTAACTGTTCGAGAGTTATGCCCTTTTATAAATGGAAAAATTACAAAATTTTTAGTTTCCGTTCTCTAACTTAAGTTTGCCTCAACCAAATATTATGAAACTTATACACAATGCTAATTACCACAAAACACAGATCAAGATGAATTTTGGTGTCGTCACTTTAACCGTTCTAGAGTTATGCCCCTTTATAAATGGAAAAATCCCAAAATTTAGTTTCCGTTCTCTAACTTAAGTTTGCCTCAACCAAATGTTATGAAACTTATAAACAATGCTTATTACCACCAAATACAAATCAAGTTTGAATTTTGGTAGCATCACTTTAACCGTTCTAGAGTTATGCCCCTTCATAAATGGAAAAATTGCAAAATTTTTAGTTTCCGTTCTCTAACTTAAGTTTGCCTCAACCAAATGTTATGAAACTTATAAACAATGCTTATTACCACAAAATACAAATCAAGTTTGAATTTTGGTAGCATCACTTTAACCGTTCTAGAGTTATGCCCCTTTATAAATGGAAAAATCCCAAAATTTTTAGTTTCCGTTCTCTAACTTAAGTTTGCCTCAACCAAATGTTATGAAACTTATAAACAATGCTTATTACCACCAAATACAAATCAAGTTTGAATTTTGGTAGCATCACTTTAACCGTTCTAGAGTTATGCCCCTTCATAAATGGAAAAATTGCAAAATTTGTAGTTTCTGTTCTCTAACTTAAGTTTGCCTCAACCAAATTTTATGAAACATATACACAATGCTTATTACCACAAAATAAAGATCAAGTTTGAATTTTGGTGGGGGTCACTTTAACCATTCTCGAGTTATGCCCCTTTAGAAATGGAAAAAAATGCAAAATTTTAAGTTACCATTCACTAACTTAAGTTGCCTCAACCAAATGTTATGAAACTTATACACAATGCTTTTTACCACAAAACACAGATCAAGTTGAATTTTGGTAGTGTCACTTTAATCATTATCGAGTTATGCCCCTTTATAAATCGAAAAATTGCAAAATTTTTAGTTTCCGTTCTCTAACTTAAGTTTGCCCCAACCAAACATTATGAAACCTATACACAATACTTATTACCTTAAAACTCAGATCAAGTACAAATTTGGGTAGCATCACTTTTATCGTTGTTTAGTTATGCCCCTTTATAATGTTGTATGCAAGCAGGGGCATCATCTGTGTCCATGGGGACACATTCTCCATTTTTTTTTTTTTAATTTTGTACTGGACATGTGCTATACTTCATTGATCCTAGGGGCCTTGGTGGCCGAGTGGTCTAAGTAGTTACTACTGTAATCACTAGCTAGTCAACACTGAGGTTGTGAGTTCGAACCCCGCTCGTGCGGGTGCACTCGACTCCAATCTTAATTGACTAGGATTGACAATTTTCCTATCGAAGGTCGAGGTTTTCTCCGGGCACTCCGGCTTCCTCCACCAATAAAAACTGGCCACCACGAAATAGCCCAAAAGCGGTGCTTAAAAGTGGCGTTAAAAACACAAAAAATTAAAAATCAAATCAAATCATTGATTCTACTATTCCTGCCTCTCTCTGTCTGTTAGACATTCATTATCTATTGGTGTACTTCCAAAACAGATTAGACTTGAAATGAAATATTAGGGTTCATTAATTTGCTTGAATATATTGATTTAAGTATGAAGTTGAGGTTTCAAACTGTTTCTATTTTAAAAGGCTGATTGGAGCTTGTTGTATATGTAATGAATAAATTGAGATCAAAATGATCTTAAATATGATAGCCAGTATGATAAAGCCATTTAAATGAGTGTGTTTTCATAGGTTTTCCAAACTGGTGTTAGTTCAGGATTATCTCCGAAAATTGTTGGGGTAATTTGAATGATGCCAATACTGTATGAATTCATCCTCTTTTGAAATAGTATATATCATTTTGATATATGATTAAGAAAATTAAGCATTGTCCAATTCCTTAAACTACTATCCTTTTTAACTTCTGGCTTCCTGCTGTTTTAAGAAGTTGCTAGATTGGTATAGTTTTGGAAGTCCACATAAAATATTTGTATAGAATGTTTTAAAATATTTCTTCATTTGTAAATCTGCAAGACATGATTTTAAG